AAAAAAAAAAAAAAAAAAGACCTTTAATAACTTAGGGAGCTTACACATATTACGTAATTATTATAGGAGGAGAGGGGGGTAGTTAAAATTTTACATTACACTTATTTAAATCATATGATTTATAAATATTATAATTTGATTGGTTATGAAATCTAACAAGGGGGGGGGGTAAGGTTTATAATAAAATGAATATTACGTGATATGTGTAACTCCCCTTATTAGATTACAAATTTTTCTCATTTTCACTCTTAATGATTATTATTATAAGTATTTACTTTTTTTTGCCAACTTTTCTGATTTAAATATGAGTATACAGAACCCCACTTACTATTAAAATAAATTACTAATGAAATAATTTTAATTTTATATAAACTTTACCTTAAAATTTTCTTAAATTCTATTGGTTAATTAACTAAAAAGAAAAAAAATTATACAATGTAATTTTTTTTATAGTAGAATCTTTAAAGAGTTTTATATATAAATTTTACTTTAAACTATAAGATGATTTATCTTAATAATCGGTAAAATCCTGAATATACTTTATACTAAAAAAGAATTTACAAACCATTTTTAAATTCAAATATATATTTTTTTATTATTAAATATATTTCTAGATATTTTTCATAACTTTTTGGCAATATAATAATAACTAATAAATTTAAAAAATCTTTTATTTTAAGTATAACTATAAAATAGTAAATTAATTTTAGAATTTTTATAGCTTTTTAAATATAATATATAATCAAATATTTACTTAATATTGTAAAACTAATTAATAGTAATTTATTTTTAAACAACTTGATTTCACCTTCTATACATTAAAAAAGAAGAAAAATTATAACAAATAATACATTATATAAATTGATTTTTTTTAACATTTATAATTTTTTTTTTTTATTATAAAATTTCTTTTTACTTTATTTTATTTTTTTGTATTATTTTATTTTTCATTATTAAATTTTTAAAAATAAAGCATTAGTATTTATAATATTAAATAGTATAAATTGTATTTATTATATTACAATAAATATCTAATAAAAAATATATTATTTAAGATTTATTCACCTATATTTTATTATAATAGAATCAAATCTAACTAAACAATTTAAACTTTAGAAACAATAGATAAAATTCATGAACTAATTAATTTACTTTTTTGTATTTTATTATATATATTATATAGATAGATTTATAATTTGAATATGAATTTCAAATCTAGAAATTGAAATATAAAATTAGATTGTGAACAATTAAAAAATATATTAATAATTTAATATTTTTTAATTTACAAGATAAAATTTTAAAAACATTATAATGTAATAGTTTTATAATAACTTTATATATAAATAGGGTATTATATATTAAGATAAACCATTTTAAATAAATTTTACTTATTAAATATAATTTATCATTTATCACCAAGGTAAAGTTTTATATAAAAGTTAAAATTTTCTACAATGACATTTATTAGTAGTAGTCTAATAGTAAACAGAATTCTGATCTAAAAAATATATAGAATTATTAATTAAAGTCTAACTTATATTCTAGCAAATTATCAATTAATATTATAAGCAAGTTAAAAATCAAATCTAAATACTTTAAATCTAAATATTATTAGTCATTATTTATTAATAATAATCTAACTATATTTTTGTAAAAACAATAACTATCAAAATCTTAAAAACTACTATTTATAAATACAATTTTTTAATGTAATGCAATTTTTAAGAGAATATCTACTTTATCTTAAATGATTTTTTACAACTATAATATATATTAGATCTCATTAGATATATTGATCTAAGAGTGATTACAGTTACAGGTTTATATGTTTTTATATAGCTTAAACTTACATATCTTTCAGATTCCTTCAAATATAGCTACTAACAGCACTTATACCATTCAGTAAAGTAATTAACCAATCTGAATAAATTATGCTAATCTAGATTAAATCTTTAATTCAATATTATAAGTGATAGTATATACAATAAAATTTATATTAAAATTATAACTATTAAAATTAAACTCATAATCATATTATATAAAAAGTATTACATCTAATTACTATATTAAAATGTTTAACTTTTTACTAGTAATTTAAAATAAATTAATTTTTTTTAAAAAATGTAAAAATTAGTTTTTGCAATTTTTTAGTATTTAATAATTTGATTAAATAAACTTTTTTTTTTAATTTGTAATTAATATTAAACTTTATAAATAAAAAAAGTTTATCTAAATCAGATCATTAAATGTTGAGATAATTGCAAAAAATGAAAAATAAAAAAAGAGCAAATTGAATTAATTTAGCAAAAAAGTCAATTATATTTAAAATCCTATTAAATTAGTTTTATTTTATTTTTTAATTTTACAATATATTTGGTAATTTATTAAAGTAAAAAAAAAGTAAAATACATAAATAAAACTACCAATATATACTATTCTAATATTATTAATTACCAAATTACTTGTTATATTCAATTGTACTCTATATATACAATAAGTTTTGTTTAGAAGATAGAATTTTTTGTAACAGTCCATTTTAGCATAAATGCTATTTTTTCTACTCAAAATTATTATAGTATTAATATATTATGCTATAGCAATATAGTTAACTTCTTTTATAGTTATTTTTATTATAGTTACATTTGTTATACCAATTAGATATTCAAAATATTTTATTATTAGATATATTTTATATAATCACAATATATTTATAGTTACTATCATACTTATTTTAAAAATTTATAATTGCTTAATAATCATAAAAGGATATAACACAGCTTATTAGAATTGTCTCATTAAGACAAATTAAATGGTAGTAGTTTCATTTTTTTATAATTATAAGCTGATAAGCTATTTAATAAATATTAAAAATTGGTATTTTAATATTTCTTGATTTATATTTACTATACTGCCAAATATTTTATTTAACTATTCAATATTTAGTAATTATAAAATGATAGTTAATAACTTTTTAGAATTGTCTAATCAAGACGAATCAAATGTTGCTAAAATCATCTTATAGATCATGAGTTATCTAATAATTTATAATAAAATTTTAGTAAATCTTATGATTTCTTATGATCTATTAGGCATAAATATCATGATGATAGGGCAGCATGCTAAAATGTTTCAAACATTACTTACCTGATTAATTAACATAACTACTTAACAGTATACATATAAGATTTTATAGTAAATAATATTAGAATAGTTACATAATTTTTTACTTATTATATAATTACTAGCATTATCCCAATAAATTTGTAAATGTACTGCAACTAGCAAAAAAAAAATTTTAATTTATAAAGTAATTTTATTAACATTAATACATATAAATCAAATAGGTTAAGCATTTCATGGAATAAATGGAAGAAAGAAACTATTTAAGATATTTTAAGTACAATAAAAAATACTTGATTTAAAAATTATATAATATTTATAGATATTTTATAAGATATATAGTCAAAATTGGCCTAATTCTACTAGAATTAAAATTTTTAAACTATAATTGTATTCAGATTTTTTGATGTAATATATTGAGCAATATAGTATAAATATATAGTAAGATGAATTATCATAATTAGAAAAATAAAATATATATATTTTGTATTTTGTAAGAACTACTATTTTCATGGTTTTGTTTTTTTATTGATATATTTAATATTAAAAATATTAACTAGAACTGCTTTTTTGAGTTAAATTATATACATTTACTCTATAGTACAACCAATAATTAAACCAAAATGTATTTATTATAAGTAAATATTTTAAAAAATATCAATATGTGTAATAAATATTAAAAGAAAAAAATCTACTTTCATTTATGAATTGTAAATAAGCAGTTATATTGAGAGAAAAAAAAAATGTTTATTAATATTTGCTATTTCAATAATTGGTTAAATTTATTTAGGATAATTACATCACACTAATACTTGCAGTCGAGCAGTACAACTTAAACAGGCAGATCATCTTTTTAATTTTATGTGGAATCTGCTATTTATATTACAATGTGAGTATTAATGCCAGACATATTTTGCATGCAGGGTTTAATACTAATGCTTGGTTTTTATACTACATATGATTATTGTAAATAAATATCTGATATACATTAATTAGCTATTCGATGTTATCTACCTCTGGCTGCTGTTGTTGATTTATAATTAAATTATCATACCATTGGGTAATCTCATTTTGATGATTATTTTTTTCAATTTCAAATATTGTCTGGTTTTTTTTTGTAAAAAAAAAAATCAATATAAATTATTTAAAAAAATTTCATTAAAAACATAATATAACGTACCTCAGCATAATCTTCAATATTAAATTTAAATGGTTCTAGTCCAAAATTAAATTTAACTTTTTCACCTCTAGTTCTTAATCCGACTGTGGGATAATAATCATTACCTGGTAGATTTTGAAAAGCAACACCTAACAAAAAAAGATATTTCAAATGAGAATTTAAAGATTTTAATATTTTTTTTAAAAAAAAATGTTTATCTCATGAATAGAATGGCTACCCAAATTTTTTCCATTTTTAGTATAAAAAGCTTTTTTACTAAAAAAATTAATCGCACAACCAATTGTATCACCAGTAGTAAACAGAGGACCATATGGAGCTCCTGTACCGGTAGATTCAAATTTATTTCCATCATCTCCATGATATCCAAAAGATTTTGATTCCCATCCTATATAAGGAGAAAAGAGATTTAATAAAAAATTAACCACAAAAGAATAGCCCTAAAAAATATAAACCTGGTAATCGGTCTAATGGAACTTCTTTTTCGCAAAATCCGACCCCGATCAATCTTATTAAAACAAAATTGATTTATTAAATTAAATCAGAATCAAAATTACAATAAAAAAAGATCTTACCCATCTCTTCCTTTACTAATAATTTCAACTTCGAAATAAAATATTCCAACTTTATCAGGAATAGGATAATTCGATCTTACAATACCTGAGTCAGCATCTCTCGCCCCCAATCCTTCTCAGAATAATGTGTTTTTTTTAAAAAAGCTGTAATAATTAAGAAATAGAAAATTAAATATATTTACCATTATAATGTACAATTAATCCATCATCATCAACAACAGTAACATTAGTAGAACAATCCTTTTTGTTCATTCTATTTGGCAAAATAAAAGGTAAAGTATCATGTTTATTACATAATGTTAAAGGACTATTTTTTAGATAAGAAGGTAAATTTTGTTCTCCTCCCATTATTACTTAAAACAGAATCGTTATTTTTTCGGAGAGAAAAATTTGTAAAAAAGTTGTTAGGAGATAAAATTACCCATATTTATTCAATCAAAAAATGGAAATGATCCGTTGTTACATTAACCGCAGTAAATAGACTTTGCGACACACGACTTAACTTTTATTCAGAGCGAACAAATTGCAAAAAGTATTCGTTTGTTCAAATTATAATAATCGCTGCGGCAAATAATTATATAAACAATATTTTTCCGATGGATAAAACAAGTATATATTATTATATTTTAAAACTTTTTAATTGAGCATATATTTAATGATACTATACCGTGAAGTATATAATGCAATAATCACTCGTAAATAAGTATTTCAACCCGTAACAGTTAGTCGATAGAATTTTTAAATGATCGGATGATGAAGGCTGGGTCGGATCATTCCTTGATTTTAAATACGGTATGTAGCGAGAATAGCATGTTAACAGATGACAAATTATCCGCACTACGGCAAAAATAATTCCAGGGGCATCGGTGATATAATTCCGGACATGTTTTATTAATTACATGACGTAATTTTCATGCAATAATATATTAGTTGAAACAAACAGCAATAATAAGGGTTTTAGGTAAGAATTATCTTAATCAAATTTTTTGAATACATTTTCTTTCACAATTTCATTAATGCAATACACGAGTTAATATTTAAATAATAGTATACATTTCGATCCAGTTAATTATAAGTGTTGTACTTATTTGGGTTAAAGGAATATGATACAAACTAAATAAAACTTTTACGCGTAGATTTTTTAAGCATTAAAGTTAGATACGCAATTCAGTTAGAAATTAAATTGGATTAATTACTAATTAATGCTAAACTAAAAAAAAATAAAAAAAAGTTGTTTTTATAGACAAAAAGCGTATTACGCCAAGTCAATAATAAATCACGTGAGTATGCATCATTTGATAGTCATTTAGTAAGCATTTCTGATCGTCATAATATATATAAAAGTTGGCCGTTTTGTTCAAAATTTTTTTTTTTTTGAAATTTTTTTTTCCTCGTAAAAAATAAAAAAAAAAAACCATGAAAAAATATTTACCAATAGAAATACTACAAAAAATATTTTGTTCGCAATTAGATATATTAACATTATATAATTGTTTATTAGTAAATAGATTATGGTGTAAAACTGTAGTACCCTTATTATGGCAAAACCCATTCTCACATTTTGATAAAAATAAAATACAAAGGTGGAAATACAAAAGTTCTTTAATAAATACTTACGTTACGTGTTTAGATTCAAATGTGAAAAATTACTTAAAAAATTCGGACATAATTTTACCAGAAGAAATTAACAAAAGATCTACATTTAATTATGAAACTTTCTTACAAAGTTTGGATTATACATTATTATTTCAATCGACAGGAAATTGGATTGGTGAAGTAGAAAATTGTACTTTACGTAAATTGACATTAAGACATTATCTTTTGGTTGAAGAATTATGTAAATTATTCTTTTCTTCTTCACGGAATTTAAAAGAACTTATTTATGATAAACCACATTCTTTGCCTCACGTACAAGAGTTAAGATATATTCCTTTAAAATATTTAGGAGCGGAACAATTCATGTCAAAATTAGTTTCATTTAAAGTATATGATTTAATTCCAAATGAAATAATAATCAGTTTATCACAAATATCCCATCACTTATCGGAGATACAAATTGAAACGACAGGAGATAATGATGATGTATTAGCATCTTTAATCAGCGTACAAAAAAGTTTAAAAAAGTTAGTAATTTGTAGTGAAGATAATTTACCAAAGTTATCCGATGTTTTAAGAAAAAATTTATCATTATCTTTAACACATGTAGAAATTAATTGGGAATTTTGCGTACCTTTTGATATATTTTGTAATTGTTCTGATACTTTGGAATATTTTTCTGTTCAACAATATTATTCAGGGTCAATATCTCGAAGTACTTTTCATCAATTTTCTAATACTCAATTCAAAAAATTACATACTTTAAAAATTATTACCCCAAAATTATATTTAGATCAAATTTCCACTCTCATAAAGAATACAAAAGATACTTTAAAATATATTCATTTAGATTATGAAAAAATTTCTATTGAATCATCAGTAGAATTAATTAATTCCATATCAACATGTTCTCAATTAAATACTTTGGAGATTTTTGTACCGGATGATTCGATATCTTGTATAGTGAATTTATTATCTTCTTGTACGAAATTACAAAGAATTTCTTTTTTAACTGGTGATTCGCTTAATGATTTGGATACTTATACTGTAGATATTAGTGATATATTACCTAAAATTGGTAAAATATTACCAAATAATTTAAGTACATTTTATTTGAGTCATAATTGGATCACAACCGCAAATTCTTTAAGAGATTTCTTGAAAGAATGTGAGAAAAACTTTAAAAAAAGAGGTGAAAAGAAATTGGATTTTAGAATAATAAAAGAATTATCAGCTGAACATATTGACGTTATTGAAGAATTTGGTAAACGTGGTATACTGGATTTAGAGGATACAGCTCTTGGTAAAAATTTACAATTTTATCGTCAACAATTTGAATGGAAACTAGCACGTAACATTATTGTCAACAAGTAAGTGTGGAATAGTCTTTCCGTAAGTTTAACTTATTTAATAATATTCTTTCTTTTATTTTAGACGGAAAGCACATCTCAATAATTTTTCGGAATTAATTTAAAAAAAAAAAAAGAAAAGAAAAAAAAAAGAAAAAAAAGAACAAAAAGAACAACAAACATTTGTCTGCAGGGGTATGCAATCCCTGGTCATGAGATGATTTTGCTCAAAACAAAAAACATTTTTAAAAATAATTTATTTATTTATTTATTTATCTATTTATTATTATACGAAATATATTGTATAAATATACATATATTTTAATAAAAGGTTAGGTGACTTGAGCCGTTGAACGTATATATGGATATATATTGTTTAATGAATTATTGTCTTTTTCGGCATCATTAAAAAAGAAACCACTAACTAACATTCGATCAGGGATGATTACCCGATATAGAACGGTATTATGATCCAGAACTTCAAAAGGGTTATCTTAACAGAAGATTTGATTGGATGTTACGGGATGTCTAAAGATCAGCACATGTGCAAATCACTGATTCGTAATTTATGCATATTATTTCACCTGACACTGCTAATATTTCATGCCATTCGTTTAAAATTATAATTTCGATTTCGTACCACACGAGTTTTTGCCTTTTTCTTAAAACTTATTTACTCAAAAAATGAATGAACAAGGTTATCACTGCAAAGTGTTATTACAAATGTAACAATTACTTATAATGGAACAATAATATAAAGATCAAACGTTGTTCGATACAATCATATTGGTACGATTTTCGATGATAGGACGTATATTATGGGTTAAACTATTAAGTTTTGCAATTTTGATCTTACGTTATTTTTTGCTAAATTTGGGATATAATATTTTGTCGAATGTCATTTTAGAATCGTGAATTAGTATGCATAAAATAAGATGATTTTGAAATTGTGGGATAAAGAATCGTGCAAGCAAAATTCGGTAATTACAAAATAATTTAAGAATTTTGATTCTAAAAAAAATTCATGTAAATTAACGGTTATTTAATTTAATTTTTTTTTTTTTTTTGTACCAGGAAATAGGAATAATAAAAAATGTTTATCATCATTTTTAACATGAAGATATAAAACAAACAGTATAAAGTAATATTAAGTGTCGAACTACATAAAGGATAGTGGCACGGAATTTGAGCAAACTCACTTTACAAGTACATTGCAGCATACATGGATAAAGTTATTTTGAATTTATATATATAATATCTATAATAAAAACAGCTATATTTCGAAATCACGAGTAAGCCTACAATAGTGAATTCATAAGTATTAAACTGATCAGTTATTAGTTTATTTAAATTAAATTACCAAATTTTAAATCACTAAAATACTGACGAATTATAAAAATAATGATTCTTTTTAATTATTATATATTATATAAGAAAAAAAAAATGGTGCAACCCATTTTTGTAATAAAAATAATATTTTTTATTTTAAAGAAAATAAATATATGCAATATCAGTTAGTGAAATGTTACAAAATAGATAGGGAGATTTTTGTAGTAATATAAATTATTGTCTTAAACAATACAGTATATATCTAAAATTCCAAAGTTAAGTACAAATGATAATCTTTAAATTGTAATTCTGGCCAAAATTTTCTTAACTCTGGACAAATTCATAATGTCGGTCCAAATTTTGTTAAAATCTGATTCTTAAAATTAAAAACCTTGCTTTATTTATTTCAATTTGATTAAAAAAGGTTGTTATATATATTTATTTTAATATAGATTTATAAATAATTTTTTTATTATATTTTTATATTAAGTGACGATTCATTACTTAACAAGAGAAAATGATCAGTAAAAATAGAATGCCATGTTCTTCCAAAGTAAAGTCCATGAATAAAAAACTAATACTTTGGCAACTTTGGAAATATAAAAATGAAGATTTTGCCTATCATTTCGAGTTATTTTCAAATAAAATAAAAAATAAAATTTGTGTAATAGAAATCGTCAAAATTACTGCATTACGGTAAATCACATAACTTTTATATATAGTTTGCATCATGGTAAAAAATGAGATAGATAACTAAGCGAAGAATCACATTTAAAACTTTGTTTATAGATGCAATTTGACAAAATAAACAACTTTTGTTAATGTTAAAAAGTTGATTATTAAACTAGATTTTTTGCTATTTTTAAATTTTTATTTAGCAAAATCAGTAAGTTTTTGGTTTATTAAAAAATTAGAATTATTCATTGTGTTTTATAATTATAAATTTAATTTAATTTAAAAATATAGTTATATGTCTGTTAATTAAATGGAAAATATGTATAATCTGTTATAATAAAAAGTTCACAAATTTGATGTGCAGTTTTTATATAAAATTTCAAAATGCAGCAAATTTGACGATCTCTGTCGCACAAATTTTATTTTTATTTTATCCTGAAAATTGCATAAAATGATATGCAAAAACCTACATTTTTATATTCCTAAAGTTGTAAAGTATTAGTTTTTTACTCATGGACTTTACTTTAGAAACACGGCTAAGATTACTTGCTGAAACCTAGGGGTTTAGGCAAGATGGCGTTTTTGCCAAAAAGCGAAATTCTGCCAAAACTATATTAAAGTTATATTAAAAAACTGGTGAAACTTTGGAGAAAGGCAAAACTGCTGAAACTTATTATAAATGCCAAAACTGCTAAAACTCTGCCGAAACTATAATAAATCTATAGTAAAATTTTGATGAAACTAATCGTAGGATTTTGAAGAGGTTTAGACAAGCAACCTTAAACACGGCATTCCATTTTTGCTGATTGTGTATACCCGTTGACTAATGGACCATCTTTTAAAGTAATTAAAGTAATTATGTAAATATTTGCAATTTATTAAAAAAATATATTTTTTAAAATTTATCAAAGATTTAGCATAAAAGGTTTAAGTTAAATAATGAAAAAACTATTATATTTATAAATAATATTATATATTAAAAGATTTAGTATTTTAATTAAACAATTTATAAATAATAAAAATCTGGTTAAATAATTCCCTTTTTTTAAATTTAATAAAATTACATTTAAAATTAAATATTTAATAGTTAAAAAAGACATTTTTTTTTATTATAAAAATTAATTTTTTGCAAATTATATAAAAATTATTTAATTAACTACTTTTTTTAATTTAAGAATATTCATTAAATTTCTTTTATCTTTATATATAGTTTCTGAAAATAATAATAACAGGTAAGAAATTGCAAATAATAAAATAAATAAAAAACTAAATAGTAATTGAAATTACTTTAAATTTTATGAATTTGTTAAATTTTACTAATTTGCTTCTTAAATTAAATAATTTAGGTTAAATCTTCCTTCTAAAATTTATATTTTATATCATTTCAAAAAAAAAAATTGATTGTATTATTATTTATTTCACTTTATATAAATTTTATTTATTTAGATATTATAAAGTATAATGACTAAGTTTTTTTATATTTTTGATAATATTTCTTGTTTTTAATTGTGACTTTTTTTTTTTTGAAAATTTGGGTAAAATTATATAATCATATAAAATTTATTAGTAGATTAAATTACTTAGATTTAGAGCTTTTGTTTGAAATTAGAATATTTAAAGATTTGTTTATTTATATAAATTATGTAAAATTAGATATTTAAATATGATTATGTAATATTTAAATATATTATATAATTCGAATATACTATGTAGATTTGAATATGTTATGTAGATTTGAATGTAAATTGATTAAGAAATTTATTATAAATAATTGTGATACAATTTTTATATCTAACATCTTTTTTATTTTAATTTTTAATTAATTTATTTAAATATTTCTGTTAAATTATTAATTTATTTTTTTAAAGAATGATAAATATATTATATAAAAGATTCAAGATTTACAGTGGTCGAAAAAAGTTTTTAGAAAAATTTATATAACAAAAAAATTCAAATTTTTCCTGAAATATACAACCAATTAATAAAATATTTTACGTGATAATATTACCACCATTTGTTTACATAATCTTTATATATAGACGTCACTATCAATTTTTATCTCCAAACAATAGCGCCTAATGTTATTTTTGAGCAAAACTGCACCACTATAACTTTATTATGGAATGCTGGCGTTTATAATGCCAAGACTTTACATGAAATGACTTCTATTCCACTCTCTACAATATATGACTATTTAAAAAAACTCAAAAATGGCATTTCTTTGGACCCTTTACTCTGATCTGGAAGACTAAAAAAGTTAACTCCTAATAAACGATGTTATTTAGTTAATTTGTTTCAAGAAACAAATACTTTAATAATATATACTGAACTCACAGATACTTTAAATACCTATAATCTTAACCTAAATGTTAATGCAAGAACAGTTTTTAATAAGCTCAATAACCTCAAATATCGCTGTACAATTCCAAAAACTGTACCACTCCTTACTAACATTTATAAGCAACGCCATATGAAATAAAAAATAAAACATAAAAAGCAAAATTGGAAGCAGATTGTTTTTTCTGATGAAACTACTTTCCAAATGTTTCAAAATACCCAAAAAGTGTTTTACAAAGTTAGTACACAACTTCCACAAAAACCTATGGTCAAACATCCATACAAAGTCCATACTTAATGTGCTTTTTCAGTAAAAGGATCAATTGGACTTTATCTTTTTACAGGTATTATGGATGGTGCCTTTTACTGTGAAATTTTAACTGAAAATCTTTTTGATAATGCTAATACTATTATGGGAAGACGCTGGATTTTTATGCAAGATAATGATCCTAAGCATAAAGCTACAAAAATGATAAATCTTCTTAAGTAAAAATGTTCAAAACTATTGGATTGGTCCTCTAATAGTCCAAATTTAAATTCAATCGAAAATTTGTGGTCTATTTTAAAAAATAAGGTGGAGAAAAAGGTTAATAAATTAATTATTAAAAAAAATGGGGTCACCATAAATCAATTTTTTGATATAATTTAAAGGGAATGAAAGGGAATTGAAGAGAAGACCTACCTTAATTTAATAAAAAATGTGCTGGCAAGATTGGAGCAAGTAATTAAGTGTAATGGTAATAAGATATCATATTAAATAAGCATAGACAAATTTTTCGTCATATCTCAAACTGTATTCCAGTTAAATTTCATGTAATTTGAGTCATTCATTATTTTTT